GTGTGCCTCCTCCTCAATAGGTCAGGAGGGTGGCAACACGAAAACAGGGCCTTCTCTGCAGTGGCTCCTCATCTGTGAGATGCTCTCCCCAGGGAAGTTCGCCTGGCACCTTGATTATACACCTTTAGGTGCCAGGCAAAAACTATAGGAGTGCAAATATCCAGAGTGTGGGGTCAGGTGGGATTACTATGAGGAACTATAAAATATGCATCAAGCCATTGTGTCCACAATGAATGCATTGTGTTGAATGGGTTTGATACATTGGCAATAATTTCTGATCAAATCCCACAACCCTCTGCATCTCTGGCCATTTCCTCTACTGTCCATTTCTCTTTCTTGACAAGTCAAGTACGCAGCCCAGTTGTCGCCAGGCAGGCATCCTGGGCCATAAAGATAGTGGGCAAGTTTCTTTGATGTAGCTTTTCTGATACGTTAATCTTAGGGCCAGGAAACATATCTCACATGAAGGTGAGGTTAAGGGGTGATATGATAGCCATGTTCAAATATATAAAAGGATGTCATATAGAGGAGGGAGAAAGGTTGTTTTCTGCTACTCCAGAGAAGCGTACACGGAGCAATGGATCCAAACTACAAGAAAGAAGATTCCACCTAAACATTAGGAAGAACTTCCTGACAGTAAGAGCTGTTCGACAGTGGAATTTGCTGCCAAGGAGTGTGGTGGAGTCTCCTTCTTTGGAGGTCTTTAAGCAGAGGCTTGACAACCATATGTCAGGAGTGCTCTGATGGTGTTTCCTGCTTGGCAGGGGGTTGGACTCGATGGCCCTTGTGGTCTCTTCCAGCTCTAGGATTCTATGATTCTATGATAATGATCGCTGTCCTCCTGGCCATCCTTCTTCTTATGTGTATTGATTGTTTACGACCTCCGGGGTTGCTGAATGCGCTCCTTTGTAGTTTTCATTCATTTACCCAAAAATATGCACGCTTAACTAGTGTTTGTAGTTTAACATTGTCCCCACGTGGGGTTTGTTGAAATGCTCAGAAGAAATCTGATTGGTTCTTACGAACACTGTAAAAAGCTCTTTGTGAATAAAACGACCCGGGCCAGGGTCTGGAGGCACGCACAGATTATTATACGCACCCTTCCCAGAGTCTTGCTGGTTCAACCCTCTGTGTATTCTTATTAATCAGAGTTCAATCCTTCCTTTACTTTGTGAACGCCTCAAGAAAAACCCCTTCCAATCTACGCCCCATCCCAAGAGACAAGGGTAGGGCGAGCAGGGATTACCCACCTCCGTCATTGGTGTTGTGCACTGCCAGGTCCATAGGCAATAAAACCACCACCATGCGTGACTTTTTTGTATTGCATGGGATTGACCTGGCTTGCGTGACGGAGACCTGGGTACTTTAAGGTGAAGTAGTCTCCCTACATGAGATAACATCCCCAGGTTTCTCTGTCCTCCATCAATTGCGGACTGCGGGTCGGGGGAGGGGGAATAGCGTTGTTAATCCGGGAGAATTGCTCTTTCAGAACTCTGCCAGCACCGGTGATCTCCGGCATTGAATGTGTTGGTCTCGTGTGGGGCACCAAGGAGAGCTTGGCTGTCTGGCTGGTGTACCGACCACCCAGCACACCTGCAGCCACCCTGTCAGACCTGCTGGAGGTGGCGGCGAGCTGGGCCTTGGAGTTCCCAAGCCTACTGGTTTTGGGAGACTTCAACGTCCATGCCGATGCCACCCCCTCCTCACAGGCTCTGGCCCTAGTGACTTCCATGGCAACACTAGGGCTCTCCCAGTTTGTTTTGGGCCCCACTCACCAAGCAGGCCACACGCTGGATCTGATCTTTGGGGCTGGCATAGATGTGATCATGCTCCCCGCTGTGGAAGTGTCATGGTCTGATCACTTTGCTCTGAAAGCCAAGATTGACTTCCCGCTCCTCCCCTGCTCGAGTGGCGAGCCTATTTGGGCTTGCCCATGAAGGCTGATGGATCCTGATAGATTCCGTCAGGCCTTGCGGGACCCTGCTCCTCCTGGCGACTCATTAGATGACCTTGTCTAGAACTGGAATAACCAGCTCTTGGCAGCTATCAATGAGATCACGCCTAAGCGCCCTCTGCAACCCCGTCGAAACCGGGCCCCTTGGTTTACCGAGGAGCTCCGGAAAATGAAGCGGGATCTCAGACAGCTAGAGCGAGTATGGCGACGGACTCATGACGGAGCGTCACGAACATCTTATAGGACACTTATGAAAGCTTATGAGATGGCTATGAAAGCTGCTAAGAAATCTTACTTCACAGCTTCCATTGCATCCGCTAGCTCTCGCTCGGCACAACTTTTTAGAATAATTAGGTCGATAACGTCCTTAGAAGGACAACCAAATATAAGCACAAATTTGACTCACAGCTGTGAGGCATTCATGAGCTTTTTTGCGGAAAGTCCTGTTGCTCCGCCGTGACCTCCATGCAGATACTGTGACAGAACTGGAGGCCCCTCAATTGTGTTGGACCATTTTGATCGGATACTCCCTGCTGATGTGGACAGATTCCTCCAAGCTGGTAGGCCCACCACCTGCCTCCTCGATCTGTGCCCATCTTGGCTGATTAGGGCGTGCCCAGATGTCGTGCAGACCCCCCTGGTTGAAATTATCAATTTGTCCTTTGACATGGGGATATTCCCAGTGGAGCTGAAGGGAGCAGTGGTGTGTCCGCTCTTAAAGAAAACTTCACTAGATGCTTTAGATGTATCCAATTACCGCCCAGTTTCAAATCTTTCATATCTGGGTAAGGTAATTGAGAGAGCGGTTGCTGAACAGCTTGGTAGGTTTCTGGAGGAAACATTGGCTTTAGATTCATTTCAGTCCAGGGTCCGTCCTGGTTTTGGGACCGAGACGGCTCTAGTCGCCCTTACAGATGATCTCCGTAGACAACTGGATCGAGGCAGACCAGGACTGCTGATTCTTTTAGATTTATCAGCAGCCTTTGACATGGTTGATCATGATCTTCTGGACCACCGCCTCGCCGACGTGGGGATACAGGGCATAGCCCGTAAATGGCTGTGCTCTTTTATCTCTGGTCAGGTACAGAGGGTGGCGCTAGGGAGGGATATGTCATCGCGCCACTCCTTGGTGTGTGGAGTGCTGCAGGGCGCAATCCTCTCCCCGATGCTTTTTAACATCTTCATGCGCCCCCTTGCCCAGATTATCTGGAGCTTTGGGCTGGGCTGTCACCAATATGCTGAGCTCTATCTGCTGATGGATGGCCACACCAACTCAACCTGGACACACTGACCAGATGCTTGGAAGCTGCGGCTGGATGGTTTTGTGGGAGCCAATTGAAACTAAATCCTTCGAAGACAGAGGTCCTCTGGCTGGGTCAAGATGGTATGGGGATGAGGGACCAACTCCCTTCTCTTGCGGGGGCCCAATCAGTGCCACTGCCTTCTGGTAAGAGTTTGGGTGTAATCCTTGACGTCTCCCTTTCCATAGAGGCTCAGGTTACAGCAACAGCCAAGGCAACATTTTTACACTTTCGCCGCATCAAGCAGTTGGTCCCTTACCTTTCCCACCCTGACCTGGCCACAGTGATCCAGGCGACGGTCACCTCCAGGTTTGACTACTGTAATTCGCTCTACACGGGGCTGCCCTTGAAGCTGTCCCAGAAACTCCAGCAGGTGCAGAATGCTGCAGCGAGGCTCCTCACAGGGTTTCTGCCACGGGAGCATATTCACCCAGTGCTTTTCCAGCTGCACTGGCTCCCGGTGGAGTACAGGGTCAGATTTAAGGGCTGGTTTTGACCTTTAAAGCCCTTTACAGCCTAGGACCCTTGTACCTACGGGACAACCTCACCCGGTATGCCCCACGAAGGACCTTAAGGTCCATAAATAGCAACACCCTAGAGGTCCTGGGCCCTAAGGAAGTTAGATTAGCCTCAGGGCACTGCAGGATCTGATTTCTTTCCGCAGGGCCTGTAAGACAGAGTTGTTCCGCCTGGCCTTTGACTTGGAATCAATTTGATTCCCTCCCCCTCTTTCTTTTTTCCTTTCTCCTCCTATGATGAGGCTGCATTTTAATGTTTTAATGTTGTATTTTAAACTTGTTTTTTTAAGTTGTATTTCGATCAACTTTTTATTATTGGTTGTTAGCCACCCTGAGCCCGGTCTTGGCTGGGGAGGGTGGGGTATAAATAACATTTATTTATTATTATTATTCCTTTTTAAGCAGGTCTTTAGTTGACCCTTTAAAATGTGGCTTTTTGGGGAGGGGATGTTACTGGATTATTGTTGCACATTCAGGTGATGAACAAACCCTCCGTCATGGGTAGGCAAACTAAGGCCCGGGGGCCGGATCTGGCCCAATCACCTTCTAAATCCAGACCGCAGATGGTCCGGGAATCAGCATGTTTTTACATGAGTAGAATGTGTCCTTTTATTTAAAATGCATCTCTGGGTTATTTGTGGGGCATAAGAATTTGTTCATTCCCCCCAATATATATATATATAGTCTGAGGGACAGTGGACCAGCCCCCTGCTGAAAAAGTGTGCTGACCCCTGCCAATCTTCCAGGGTGTAGCAAATATGATGCAGATCATTGGATTCCTCCCTGTAGCTGCCTTCAGTCTCAGCATTTGGCATTGACATTTTACTAAAGAGGACCATGAGCCAGACTTCCTCCACCAGGTGTCCTCCAGATGTTTTTGATTGCAATTCTCACCTGCCACTAGCCAGCATCAGTCGTGCGATGCTGGGGCAGATTGTAGAGATGGTCCACAACAGCTGGGGTACAGAGGTAACTGAAACATCTTTAACTTCAAAAAGCGCCAGAATTGCTGTCATCCAGCCACCGTAAATACCTTTAAAGAGAACAAACCAAAGAGAAAACTAGAGCCAGAACCTTCCAAAAAAATGCAGACCATCTCTATGACCATAGAACTCAGGGCTTCCCTTGTTGTGATGCCACTAGTAGCTTCTGAGTGTTAGGGATGTGATGCCCTGTGAGGTCAGTGTGACCCCGACGCTCAGCGGAGCCTCTCTCTCTTCTTTGCAGCTAATGCCGCTTTATATCCAGCCCATCAGAGTCTTGCCACGTCCTCCTCTCAAAGTCCCAAAGGCTATTGCTATGAGTGCTCCTCTCCGGTGCATCCACACCATCCACAGACTTCCTCCTCCCAAAGTCCCAAAGGCTATTGCTATGAGTGCTCCTCTCCGGTGCATCCACACCATCCACAGACCTCCTCAACAACTTCCTCTGACCCCAGTAACACAAATCTTGAGGGTGGCACAGTGTACACAGTGGGAGTCCCCCCACTCAGGTCCTTGCCCAGCTCCATGTCCCCTGGGGTTGATACAGTCGTCTTACCTCCAGGCCGCCCCAAAGTTGCCAGGACACAAACAGTAGACATCACCACTCTCCAGCCCAGCTCTGGAGGCTCCTATTCTCCAAATGCCAACCAAACAAGAGAAATTGAATCAACTTGGTCTTGGCCCAGCTCCATGTCCCCTGGGGATGATACAGTCTTCTTACCTACAGGCCGCCCCAGAGTTGCCAGGACACAAACAGTAGACATCACCACTCTCCAGCCCAGCTCTGGGGGCTCCTATTCTACGAATCCGAACCAAACAAGAGAAATTGAATCAACTTGGCCCTGGCCCAGCTCCATGCCCCCTGGGAATTATTCAGTCTTCCCTCCTCCAGGCCGCCCCAAAGTTGCCAGGACACAAACAGTAGACATCACCACTCTCCAGCCCAGCTCTGGGGTCTCCTTTTCTCCAAATGCCAACCAAACAAGAGAACTTGAATCAACTTGGTCCTGGCCCAGCTCCATGTCCCCTGGGGATGATACAGTCTTCCTACCTACAGGCCGCCCCAAAGTTGCCAGGACACAAACAGTAGACATCACCACTCTCCAGCCCAGCTCTGGGGGCTCCTATTCTACGAATCCGAACCAAACAAGAGAAATTGAATCAACTTGGCCCTGGCCCAGCTCCATGCCCCCTGGGAATTATTCAGTCTTCCCTCCTCCAGGCCGCCCCAAAGTTGCCAGGACACAAACAGTAGACATCACCACTCTCCAGCCCAGCTCTGGGGTCTCCTTTTCTCCAAATGCCAACCAAACAAGAGAACTTGAATCAACTTGGTCTTGGCCCAGCTCCATGTCCCCTGGGGATGATACAGTCTTCTTACCTACAGGCCGCCCCAAAGTTGCCAGGACACAAACAGTAGACATCACCACTCTCCAGCCCAGCTCTGGGGGCTCCTATTCTCCAAATGCCAACCAAACAAGAGAAATTGAATCATATTGGTCCTGGCCCAGCTCCATGTCCCCTGGGGTTGATTTAGTCGTCTTACCTCCAGGCCGCCCCAAAGTTGCCAGGACACAAACAGTAGACATCACCACTCTCCAGCCCAGCTCTGGGGGCTCCTATTCTCCAAATGCCAACCAAACAAGAGAAATTGAATCATATTGGTCCTTGCCCAGCTCCATGTTCCCTGGGGATGATACAGTCTTCTTACCTCCAGGCCGCCCCAAATTTGCCAGGACACAAACAGTAGACATCACCACTCTCCAGCCCAGCTCTGGGGGCTCCTATTCTCCAAATGCCAACCAAACAAGAGAACTTGAATCAACTTGGTCCTGGCCCAGCTCCATGTCCCCTGGGGATGATACAGTCTTCTTACCTCCAGGCCGCCCCAAATTTGCCAGGACACAAACAGTAGACATCACCACTCTCCAGCCCAGCTCTGGGGGCTCCTATTCTCCAAATGCCAACCAAACAAGAGAACTTGAATCATATTGGTCATTGCCCAGCTCCATGTCCCCTGGGGTTGATTTAGTCGTCTTACCTCCAGGCCGCCCCAAAGTTGCCAGGACACAAACAGTAGACATCACCACTCTCCAGCCCAACTCTGGGGGCTCCTATTCTACGAATCCGAACCAAACAAGAGAAATTGAATCATATTGGTCCTGGCCCAGCTCCATGTCCCCTGGAGATGATACAGTCTTCTTACCTCCAGGCCGCCCCAAAGTTGCCAGGACACAAACAGTAGACATCACCACTCTCCAGCCCAGCTCTGGGGGCTCCTATTCTACGAATCCGAACCAAACAAGAGAAATTGAATCATATTGGCCCTGGCCCAGCTCCATGTCCCCTGGGGATTATGCAGTCTTCCCTCCTCCAGGACGCCCCAAAGTTGCCAGGACACAAACAGTAGACATCACCACTCTCCAGCCCAGCTCTGGGGTCTCCTTTTCTCCAAATGCCAACCAAACAAGAGAACTTGAATCAACTTGGTCTTGGCCCAGCTCCATGTCCCCTGGGGATGATACAGTCTTCTTACCTACAGGCCGCCCCAAAGTTGCCAGGACACAAACAGTAGACATCACCACTCTCCAGCCCAGCTCTGGGGGCTCCTATTCTACGAATCCGAACCAAACAAGAGAAATTGAATCATATTGGCCCTGGCCCAGCTCCATGCCCCCTGGGGATTATTCAGTCTTCCCTCCTCCAGGCCGCCCCAAAGTTGCCAGGACACAAACAGTAGACATCACCACTCTCCAGCCCAGCTCTGGGGTCTCCTTTTCTCCAAATGCCAACCAAACAAGAGAACTTGAATCAACTTGGTCCTGGCCCAGCTCCATGTCCCCTGGGGATGATACAGTCTTCTTACCTACAGGCCGCCCCAAAGTTGCCAGGACACAAACAGTAGACATCACCACTCTCCAGCCCAGCCCTGGGGTCCCCAACTCTCAGGATACCACCCAGAATGCCTCTCTCAATGTTACCCGGGATGCTTCTCAAAATGCCTCTCAAAATGCCTCACAGAATGGTCCTGTCTCAGTGCTAAATCTCTCAGGCCCTCTAAACAGTGCTGATGTTGCTCAGCACTGGTGGGAGTCTCGGCCTTTCACCCCTCCAAGTGCAGCACTCAATGCCTATGTATGCCAAGCATGGCCTGCCATGAGCATGCCAGCACTGCAGCAGGCATTGGCGCTGGGGCAAGCAATGCAGCAGGCACAAATCCTGACTCCAAGGAATGAGAAGCTATTGGGAGGGGTAAAGGAACTAAGGCACGCCCAAGCAATGACACAGCGACAGGCAATGGAGCGGGAGCAGATGCAGCCTAGGGAGTGGGCGCAGGCACCCGTAGTGACCCAGGCACCAAGACTGACACAGCAGCAGGCATTCGAGAGAGCACAGGCACAGCAATGGGTGAAGACCTGGGCAGAGATGGAGCAAACAGCACGGCGACAGGAAATGGAGCGGGCACACTGGGCCCAGGCCCAGGCCCAGGCCCGGGCCCAGGCCCAGGTAATGACCCAAGCACAAGCCCAGGCACTTGCACAGCCTATAATCCTGAGAAGCCCTGCCCCTTTCATACTGCAATCCCCACTTGTTGGTAGGGAAGCCATGCCACCCCCTTTCCAACTACCCTCTCCCGAAGCCATGCCACCAACCCACCTTCCTGCTAATCCACTCCAAGCCCCACAGAAATATCCCGATGTGAAGCCAAAGGAGCGCAGAGCCTCCATTAAGCAAGAGACTGACATGAAGACCAGCAGCGATGCCAAAGGAAAAGGTGAGAGGGACCAGAACGGAGCTGGGGCAGGCAGGCAGGGTGGAGTGGAGCAGAGCTATGTGGTGGGGGTACAATTCACAAGGAACTGCCACTAGCCCTAGAGCCAGCAACAAGCTGCAGCATGGGCAGCCCAGGCCAGCACCATGACTGCTGCTATTTGCAACCCCAAAGAGCTTATGAGGACAGTGCCCTGTCCTGGAGGAGATCCAGAAGCTCAAGGGAGAGGGGGAAATCCTTTGTGGTCAGAGGCAAGCCATGATCTGCCCCTAGATGGCTGAGGGATGCCCAGGAAAGTCTGGTGTAAGCTGGCTATATGTGGGCACTAGTCAGGGCCCATTTGCCAGAAGCTGAAGTTATCATGGGATCGTGGGATCATGCATAAATCACAGTGGGCAACTGAAGGTCAACATCAGCAACTCTTTTTCTGTGAGATTTTTATTAAAGTTTTTCATAATAAAATAGTGTCTACAAAAAATACAAATAGAGTCCTCTCCTAAAAGTAATTCTTAGCCCTTACCACACACAGCGGATAGTAGCTCCTCCCAGCTCTCACTTCCCACTCTGGGAGACCAACAGTTCCCTGTTTCTCACCCAAGGCCCTCCATCAAGCATCTACCACTCCCATTCATATACAATCTCTGGACCTTAATAAAGGCCCCAGACATAGGACTCCAAGGAAAAAACAAAAAGAAGAAAAACAAAAAAGAGAGACAAAAAAGAAAGGAAGGAAGGAAGGAAGGAACAATAAGAGAGAAAAGAGAGAGATAAAAAAAAGACAAAAGAAAAATAAACGCTAGAGAAAGATACAAACAAAAAATCCCTTCTGATTTTCCATCTGCCGGTAACATAAAAAAAGGAAAAGGGATTACCATACTTTACCGTGTACAACACGCCACCATGTATAAGACATCCCCTATTTTGGAGAAATAAAAATTAAGAAAATTGGAGGGGGGGAGAGATTGTTGAGCTTTTTTGGGAAGGATTGCCCACAGTTGTTGAGCTTTATTCGGGGGGTGGTCCACAGTTGTTGTGCAAACATCGCAAAAGTCACCTATCCTCTGTCCCATCGCCAACAAAAGCAGCAAACAGGCTGCCCAATTGCCGCATCAACAGCCAATCAACACCAGCCCTTGCCGCAGCCACCAATAACAATCTCCAACTCACAGCAGCAACCAATCCCATGTCCCCACAATGCACTACCCATATATAAGACAACCCCCAATTTTAACATGATTTTTGAATAAAAAAAAGTCTTATACACGGAAAAGTATGGTATTTAAGACATTTAGCCCATGCTAAAATCCATCTTCTGCACTTTCTGTTAAGCAATATTTCTTTTAAGTTAAGGTGTCTCAGAATCATTCATTTTGTTTTCCCACTAAAAGTCCAAGAGGAGTTCCCTAATTGTTATTATTGGCTAATGTCAACCATATTTTTTCTTTTCTATTAATTTTACTTCCATTAATTTCCACCACAGTTACTCCATATTGAGTGACAGCAAATTCTTCTTTCTATCCATATCCATTTTAAAATCTCTCCACTGTTATCACATATTGGAATAATATTCCTTTTTCTTCTTATTATATATCCTTTAGTTCATGTCCATTTCCATATGCTCAAATTCCACTTCCTGTTGCATTTCCATTTCCTGTTGTATTTACAGTGCTATCCTGATCTCCTCTCCTCTAGAAACTTCCATTTTCATTTTTCCCAGTCTTTTCCCAGAGAGAATACCATAAATTTGGCAGCATCATTCTCTGAATTTGCTCCAAATCATATACAAAATACTTTCTCTCTGCTAGAACTGAAGAATGGCCAGGACTGAAGTTTTCCCTAAAGCTTTCCCTACCTCAACTCCATCAATGCCAAATCCAGGTAATTCCCCATTTGTGATTGTATCTCCTCCTCCTCCAAATCCTTGTATGGAATGCATTTCATTTCAGCATCTGCTTTCTTCATCCAGTCCTGCCAGCTTTTCATTGATTTGGTTCGAAGCTTCTAGGTATTCTTCATTTCCATTTTCCATTTCAGATCTCTTTGATTCATTTTCTCTCCACCTTTCTTTTCCACTGATTGATTCCAATCATTTTTATTTGTTCAGCCATCAACTGCTGAACAATGCCAACAGTCACTGGGAGATCTAAAGGTACCTTTGCCATACTGGATGCTTTTGATGATTTGAATATTATTAGCAACTCTACGTTAATATTTCCACCTTAAAACCACAGCCACAACGTGTCTTATAGGAAATTCTTTTCCACAACTGGAAATGGCCGCTTTACTTTCAGCAGCAAGAAACAGAAAAAGGGTTAGATTTTTCACACAAGGGTTTCCCTTGTCTGTTTAATCATAAATCAGGCTTTTAGCTTTGCCTTGAGACACTTTAACGACCAGTTTTCCTTTCTGTTCTTCATAACAACAGAAAGAGGTACTTAAAATTTTTCAGATTGTAAATTTTCACCAGCAGCATAGAGGGATCTCTCCAAGTTAGTTTTCCTTGTCCCAGAAGTGTTTAAGAAAGAGAGTGTGCTGGTCTTTCTACCTATAAAACATGCTTAAGTGACATTTGGGCACAATGTTGACTCCTCACCTTGCCAGCTCATTGTAACTCCCGTCCAAGCCGCCAGGCACAGACAGCATAAAATGACCTCAGCAAAGCATTTCAGATCTCCCAGATCACCCTTATTTTCCTGAGTGATTATTGTATTGGCCCGAATATAAGCCGAACCCACAAATATATTCAATGGCTACAATTCCGCAGGCACTCACATCCAAAAATGGAAAATGTATAAGAAAATCCTACAGGTACTAGAGATTACCCGTAATCTTGCAAATCGGCAATAAAACATTTCTTTGTTCCGTTTTACTATATATCTGTTTCAGCAGCAAGATCATAAAAGCCTATTTTTGTAAGGTCATGTATTTAAGCCACACTTTTTGACGGTCAGAATTTGTGGGGAAAGTGTGGCTTATTTTTGGGCCAATGCGGTAATAGTCAGTCTGACTACTATCAATCACCACATAATTATCTTCTGTCAGCAGAGAGCTAACAGAGAGGCAGCCAAACTGCCATTCCTCTCCCCGGACGTTATCAGCAGCTGGCCAGTCTTCAAATAATGGCCTGGCCACAGACAGGCTTTATACAGATCTATAAGTGCCTAGTAGCAACTGTAAATATTGCACCCTATGCCTGAAAGCTGCCTTAATGACCTTCCTTTGCCACAAAATGTGTGCCACTGGGGACCAGCTGACACATCATTTTTTTAAAAAAATGCTTCAATTAGCCAGTTTTAGTTTGAAGAAGGAACCACCCATGCAACTCCAATCCAGAATGGACTCACACCGTGGTTGCCTGATTTCTTCCCCTCTCCTGTGTCCTGTTAGCTCCCAAAGGTGGCTGCAGACAGCCCCATGATCCTGCCTAAAATGAACAGCTGTCCTTCTGAGCACCGTTAGCTTACAGACTTCTTTTCTCTCTCACCTTTTGCATCGAATGCGCTGCACTTGGGCAAAATAATAATAATAGCAGAATGATAAAAGCTGCTCACCTTTGTATTTTATTTATTTATTTAGAAGGATGCATACAATTCTAAGCATAGTGCAGGACAAGGCCCTTAACTTATATTCACAGGAGGGGTGTTGGTGCAGAGTTTACAAAGAGACAAGACAGGCTGGCTTTAGTACATGGAGCAGTGCAAACAGGGGGGAAGGTGGGGAACTCCACTCTGGTCAGCAAAATGTGGCCTGGGCTGCTAGCTGTGAGGCAATAGGCTGGCAGGGGAGGATGGACAGCTTGACCAAGGGGAGTGGGCACTTTGTGGATGGTGGAGGGCCAGGGAGACCTCCTCTCTGACAGGAAATGTCTTTGCAGAAACCAGCAAGCAAGAGCGCATCGTGGGCGAAATTGCATTCCAACTGGACCGCAGGATTCTCTCCAGCATCTTTCCTGACCGCGCGCGCCTCTACGGTTTCACCGTCCGCAACATCCCTGAGAAAGTTGCACAGGTGAGGGGAAACTCCACTTACTGCCTCTGGCCCTAGCCCTGGCATGGCAGCTTAGAGAGAGAGAGAGCGTGCAAGTAGGGCCTTTCCACATGAATTTGTGGAACCCAAACTGGGGGTTTCCCCCAAGGAACCGTCAAAAGGGACCAGTCATTTCAGGCCAACTAGGAATGGATGTCAGTGGGTCAGTTCAAGCATACAGTGGTACCTTGGTTCCCAAACTTAATCCGTTCCAGAAGTCTGTTCCAAAACCAAAGCGTTCTAAAACCAAGGTGTGCTTTCCCATAGAAAGTAATACAAAATGGATTAATCCATTCCAGACTTTTAAAAACAAGCCCTAAAACAGCAATTTAACATGAATTTTACTATCTAGTGAGACTATTGATTCATAAAATGAAGCAATAATCAATGTACTGTACTATAAAATAAATAAGACAGTATTGTAGATGATAAAAATACAAATTACTTTTTTCCTTACGTGTACTAATGATAGTCAATATTTGGATGGGAGGCTTTTATCCATTTCTGCAATCACACAACCAATCAATCAGTAGCTGAACTCGGTTCCACACAGTCACATAAACAAAGTCACAAACCACAGTCACAAGGCAGTCCCAGAAAATGAAGAACAAGTCACAGTCAAAAAATGAAAAAGCCACACAAACAAAAACGCAAAAAACAGCAAAAACAAAAGCTCCAAATATCAGCTCTGTGTTGTGTGGGAGCTCAAGACTCAACACGAAGCCTCTGATTAGCAGCAGGGGACTCAATTTACAAACGGAACACACTCAACAGGAAGTGGAACATGTTTCGCTTCCAAGGCAAAGTTCACAAACCGGAACACCTACTTCCAGGTTTGCAGCGTTCTATTTCCAAGTTGTTCATAAACTAAGCTTGTCCCACACAGAGATTTCTCAGGAGACAGATGAGGTGATCAGGCACTCCCATTTCTTTAAGAACTTGCCATAGTTTGCTGTGGTCGACACAGTCAAAGGCTTTTGCATAGTCAATGAAGCTGAAGTAGATGTCTTTCTGGAACTCTCTAGCTTTCTCCATAATCCAGCGCATGTTTGCAATTTGGTCTCTGGTTCCTCTGCCCCTTCTAAATCCAGCTTGCACTTCTGGGAGTTCTCGGTCCACATACTGCTTGAGCCTTCCTTGTAGAATTTTAAGCATAACCTTGCTAGCGTGTGAAATGAGTGCAATTGTGCGGTAGTTGGAGCATTCTTTGGCACTGCCCTTCTTTGGGATTGGGATGTAGACTGATCTTCTCCAATCTTCTGGCCACTGCTGAGTTTTCCAAATTTGCTGGCATATTGAGTGTAGCACCTTAACAGCATCATCTTTTAAAATTTTAAATAGTTCAGCTGGAATACTATCACTTCCACTGGCCTTGTTATTTGCAGTGCTTTCTAAGGCCCATTTGACTTCACTTTCCAGGATGTCTGGCTCAAGGTCAGCAACCACACTACCTGAGGTGTACGAGACATCCATATCTTTCTGGTATAATTCCTCTGTGTATTCTTGCCACCTCTTCTTGATGTCTTCTGCTTCTATTAGGTCCTTACCACTTTTGTCCTTTATTATGGTAATCTTTGTACGAAATGTTCCTTTCATATCTCCAATTTTCTTGAACAGATCTCTGGTTCTTCCCATTCTGTTGTTTTCCTCTATTTGTTTGCATTGCTCGTTTAAGAAGGCCTTCTTGTCTCTCCTTGCTATTCTTTGGAAATCTGCATTCAATTTCCTGTATCTTTCACTATCTCCCTCACATTTTGCTTGCCTTCTCTCCTCCGCTATTTGTAAGGCCTCGTTGGACAGCCACTTTGCTTTCTTGCATTTCCTTTTCATTGGGATGGTTTTCGTTGCTGCCTCCTGTACAATGTTACGAGCCTCCATCCATAGTTCTTCAGGCACTCTGTCCAGCAAATCTAAATCCTTAAACCTGTTCCTCACTTCCACTGTGTATTCATAAGGGATTTGATTTAGAGTGTATCTTACTGGCCCAGTGGTTTTTCCTACTTTCTTCAGTTTAAGCTTGAATTTTGCTATAAGAAGCTGATGATCTGAGCCACAGTCAGCTCCAGGTCTTGTTTTTGCTGACTGTATAGAGCTTCTCCATCTTTGGCTGCAGAGAATATAATCAATCTGATGTCGATGCTGCCCATCTGGTGATGTCCATGTGTAGAATCGTCTCTTGTGTTGTTGGAAAAGAGTGTTTGTGATGACCAGCTTGTTCTCTTGACAGAACTCTATTAGCCTTTGCCCTGCTTCATTTTGAACTCCCAAGGCCAAACTTGCCAATTGTTCCTTTCATCTCTTGACTCCCTACTTTAGCATTCCAATCCCCTGTAATGAGAAGAACATCCTTCTTTCGTGTCATTTCTAGAAGGTGTTGTAAGTCTTCATAGAATTGGTCAATTTCAGTTTATTCGGCACCGGTAGTTTGTGCATAAACTTGGATTACTGTGATGTTTTTGTCCAAAACTCCATGGACAAAAACAACAGGCATATAAAAGTTTAAAAAAATAAAGTGTTAAAGTCATGTGGAGTTTGGTTCCAAGTCTGCAATGTTGATTCCTTCCTTCCTTTGGCAATCACTCGTAGCTGAGTAAGATTGCCTTCCATAAACATGGTTTTAACAATGAGTCCGTAAGTGACTGTGGAGGCCAATTCCGGAGCCACATGTCCTTCCACAGTGGCGTAGCTGGGGAGGTAGCTGCCCCCCATCAATAAAAATCAATACACACCTGAGGTTCTGCTTCCCCCAAAGCCCTACAAAAATCTTGGTTATGCCCATGCCCTCTATATATCAGGGGTGGGGTGGGTGGCTTGGATCCTTTCCACTTTCTCCCCCCCCCTTCACTGCCCAGCTTTTTCTCCATTGCCTCCAGGTCCACATTACTTATCCCTCCCTTCCCACTAAAATGTTAACCCCAAGGGCTGCAGCCGCCTTGTCTTCCCTGCTCTTGCCTCTCACCATGGATCCTGACTTTTCTTGCTTCTTGCTCTGACCACGTCCTCCCCACTTACCTCTCTGGCTTCCTTTTCTGTTTCCCCATAAGGTTCAACTTCTTTCCTTCCAAACCTCCTCACAGTCAAGCCTCTTGGCAGCTCCATCCGCTTTACCTTCTCCAGCTTCTCTGTCAATGGGACTCCAGCCTGCTTGTCATTAAATACGCCTCCTGCTTCTCAAATACAAATGTTCTCTCTTCCTCTGGGCTTCTGATCTTTCTTATTCTAAATAGCGTTTTGCCTGCTATTTCCCCCCTCAGATGAGAAAGAGCCACTTCGGGAGGGCCATGGTTGGCCACACAACCCCACCCATGGCAGCGTATCCAGGCAAGGCTTGCAAAGACCCTGTTCCTTTTGGCCTGACACCCTGCAGAGCCTCTGCAGGCCACAGGGAGCAAGAGGGACCCACGACACAGCTTGGCATAAAGCAGTTTCCTGTGTGCTATGAACATTTTCGTTTATTAAGCCCTTCATATATAGTGGTACCTTGGTTCTCAAACTTATTCTGTTCCAGAAGTCCATTCCAAAACCAAGGCATTCTGAAGCCAAGGAGCGCTTTCCCATGGAAAGTAATGCAAAATGGATTAATCCGTTCCAGACTTTTAAAAACAATCCCTAAAACAGCAATTTAACATGAATTTTACTATCTAATGAGACCATTGAGCGATAAAATGAAAGCAATAAACAATGTGCTGCAGTCACAAAATCAATCAATCAATCAATCAATCAGTAGCTGAACTGGCTTCCACACAGTCACAAAAACAAAACAAAAAGAGTCACAAAAACAAAAACACAAAATAAATAGCAAAACCAGACAGACCTCAGCGTAACACTCAAAACGGAAGTGTGGCACTTAAATCGTCAGCTTAGCACTCAAATCGTCAGTGTAATACTCAAAACGGAGGTGTGGCACTCAAATTGCAAGCATAACATTCAAAACGGAGCATATTCAGCTTCCAAAAATAGTTCACAAACCAGAACACTTACTTCTGGGTTTGCAGTGTTTGGGTTCCAAATTGAGCACCAAGGCGTTTGAGAACCAAGGTACCAATAGTCTCTAAGCAGTTTACAAAGATGCAACACAAAATAAAAATCAGCTATGATAAAATCAAACTATAGTTAAAATGCCTGCTGAAATAACAAAGTCTTCTGTAGGCACTGGAAGTTCAGTGGGGAAAGGCTCATCTGACCTCAGCTGTAATGGAGTGCCAAAAACTCCTCCCCCCTGACCCTTGGCATTAACTAATTGGTAAGCCAGCAAGCAACGCCTTGCTATTATCCTGGGATGACTGGCCAGTGTCTTGTACATGCCAAGTCCTATTTCAGAAGGAAATCATAGTTGCAAAAAGCCCATTGTGGATTTAGCAGCTAGCTGTTTTAACACATAAAAAGTATATTTTAAATTTTGTATAGAATATAATGGCTGAAGTTTGAGGGGTTGTAGCCAACTACATTTTACTCAAAGCAGACTAATTTAATTAATCTGTTAGTTATGTCCATTAATTTCAGTGGGCTTACTCTGTGTAGGACAAACATGGGCGACAACCCTGAGACTATTAATACCCCAACACTGCATGGGAAGGGATCCCACAACGGAGCCTCTGGCATTTCCCGTCAAACAATCTCAGGCAGCAGCTGCCGGTGGGTGGGTGGGTGGGGCTTGGAGAGCCACTGCCAGTCAGAGTAGACAGCATCAGGGCTGGACAGACCCAAAGGGTCTGCGTCAGGCCAAAGTAGTTTCTTCTGGACTTCATATGGTAACAGGGGGTTTCTGCGGCTTCTGTCCGTTGGGATGGGTTTCTATTACTTTCACTGGGGGCACAAATAATTATCTATACAGTGGTACCTCTGGTTAATTACTTAATTCATTCCGGAGGTCTGTTCTTAACCTGAAACTGTTGATAACCTGATGTAACACTTTAGCTAATGGGCCTCCTGCTGCCGCCACCGCACGATTTCTGTTCTCATCCTGGGGCAAAGTTCTTAACTTGATGTACTACTTCCGGGTTAGCGGAGTCTGTAACCCAAAGTTTTTGCAACCCGAGGTACCACTGTATCACCATCAATAGTATTTACATTCTCAGTTACTTTATATAAAAAAGAAAAAAGTGTCAGACAACTTGAAAAGTGAACACAATGTGCCTTAATGCTGCTCTCTGTTCCTCTCTCTCCGCAGAGTGGAGCTGACCCCTTCCTGCAGCTGACAACAGAGCAGGCTTCAACCATCATGGAGCGCTACAATAACATCATGGACCGCCTGAAGCAGCTGGGCTATGACCCAAGCGTTCACCCTACCCTGACGGAGCACATTGTCAACACTTTTGGCATCCTCCGGGATCGGCCAGACATGACAGGCGCAGAGGCAGCCGCCTACAATGACATAAAGTATCTGCAGGAGGTGGTCAAGAATGCCACCCCTCCAGACATGTTCAACAACTGCATGCTGCTCCTCAACTGCCTCCATCAACTGTCTCAGGATGACGGGAAGCCCTTGTTCATATGGTGAACCTCCCATCCCCCCCACAGTGCGCACTGTATCACTGCAAACACAATAAACCATCTGAAAATGTCTAGTGAGTCTTCTTGTGTAACCCGCAGACAATTTGTGCCACCTTGTCCAGTTTCATGATTTGGGAGAGGGCCAGTCTGGTGTCCGGCCCCCTCTTGGCCCTCTTCAGAAGTGCATTAATTGCCAGCAAGCCAGAACATAAAGAGCAAGGGGTGGTCATGATTAGAAATATACTGAAATTCATTGTTACAGGAGGATATTCAAAGGGTAAAAGGTTGGCATGAGGCAGGGTTTGCTTTATGGGAAATGGTCTGCTTGAGTGATGACGGATCTGGTAAGCCATGATTGTTTCATAAGCAATAACTATTTCCATAAGCCATAATTACGACAAGACTTGCTACTGAAAAATAATCAATGTTAAGATGCTCTGTAGTGATGTATTAACTCCATTCTGCACTCTGTATTCTAATACTGGTATTAATAGCTGGTTAGTAAAAAAAGTAACTTTTCATCAAACTGGTCTTAGAAATGCTGGTGTTAAATAAATAATTTCTCTGTGCCTTCTGCTTCAACATTTGTCTGAAGGTGGCAGCTGGGCTTGGAAACTAAATGCCAAAAAGCAAAACAAAGTCTATTGTGATTTCAAAGGACAGGAGTGTAAATCAGTGAATTCTCAGGCAGGGCTTCACCTGTCAGAGGAGGCGACTTCTTTGCCAAACCTGCCCTCCACCAAAGGGCAGCAGCAGCACCCTTCTCCTCCCTGGCTATTCTCTCTCTTCCTGTTGATCTCTGGCGAGTGCTTTTGGCAAATCTTCTCACTGCACAAAGTGTGTTGTTTTTAATCTCCTCCAAGGTTAGGCCAGGAGGGTGCAGTGGCTCACACCGGCCACCACAGCAGCAAAAGGAGCATCTCGGTGCTATCTTCATTTCTGAATTTTCTGATTGTTTGCAAAGGGGGGGGGGGAGATAGTCTTTCACTCAGACACTGACATCTCTAGTGGTCAAAGTGTCCTGTCAGTGAATGCTGAGGGCTCTGAAAAATGAAATGAAGGGGTTTCTAGCGATTAAGATAAATAAGACTATAAAGGGAGGGATAAAGGTTTAAAATAAAGAATGAATGATCTTGCTGAACTAATTTTTTAAAGTGGAATACAAGAAGGGAAGGCGGGTGGAAGTAAAGAGAATAAGGTTTTGAAGGTTACCAATATGAAAGAGTGTTCTTTTTTATGCTAATTTTTTTCTTTTGCATTCTCCCTTTTTTCTGTTTTTCTGTTTGGATTTTTGATGTTTGTTGTTTGTTTTTTGTGATTTTTGCTGACTTTCGTTGGTTGTTAATTCTTTGATAAAATCTTAATAAAATATTATTAAAAAAAAAACAAAGTGTCCTGTCAGAGGCCTGCAGGCAGCAACAGAGTGCTGAGCTCCTAAGACCTTGGTTGCTGCACCAGGGGCAAAGAGCCCCAGTAAGAGCCTCCCCATTTACATGCTTTCTCCCGACACCATTTTCCCAATTGAAGAGCATTCAGTCTGCAGGTGGAGCCCCTCAGCAAAGAAAAGCCTGGCTGCTAGTTCAAGGATATAGCAACAAGCTAAGCAATAAAGTTACACCAGACTGCATTGAAATAGTCGTGTTTCTTCTGGCCTCTTGATACTTTGTTTTTGTGTCAGCTTCTCCAATAATGCTGTTTGCCAAATTGCATTGTATCATTGGTCCATAATCAATAATTGTAATGATTTGCATGTCCAGGCAAGTTGTTTTTGCTGCAGTTAATGGAAGTGTTATGAGTTCTTGGTTTCTAATTCGCAACATATCATGACCGTACAAGTTAAGTATAGGCAGTCCTGGGGTCCTGTCTGTCTTGTAATTAAATATATTTCTGTAAATACATTTTCCCATAACATTTCTATTTCTGGACACTCCTACCACAAGTGCTAATATGCCGCTGTAGCAGGACATCCTCTCCAACACATGGGAAAACTGTTCGGTTTTATATAGGCTAGGAGTTGGTCCAGTCTGTTCCATGTCTTTTCTTCAGTATTTAAGTCTCAATTCAGTTCCCGCCACCTTCTCAAAATTTTGCAGAGGAAAAAATTGAACCTCAATTATAGATTTATACAAAAATATTAATCCTTTTGTTATTATATTATATTTTACTCCACTATAATTTTTGCATGCTATTGTCTCATGACTTTGTTTTTAAACTGGGAATTTGTTAAAAATTGGTAGTCTAAAAATCGTGATATTTGAACATTTGCCTGTGCAATTTGCATCACATTAATGGTAAGCAGTCATCTATCTTTGTAAAAATATTTCAAATATTACAACTGCTTTTCTTTCAACACCTCTATATTATAGAGTCTATATTTATTTTTGAAAACTGGGTAGAAGTGTAATGGAATAATGGGTGAGAAGCCTGCAACCAGGACTTTGCCCATTTTGTCCAAATCTTGAAAGTTGTAAGTGTGAATGGATTTGTAAGCCAGGTTAAGGTATTACTTTCATAAAGACACCATCTATTTCCAAGTTCTCTAATGTTCTCTACTGAGCTCCTTTACTGCCAGACAGGTCTATCATGTTGATGAGTGGATGGGTGTAGTAATCTTTATAAGGGCATCTTGGGAAATGGCTGAAGGGAGAAGGAGCAGCCTGTATGAGCCAAAGAGGATGGTCTTGTGATAGAAACAGGGTGTGGGATAAAGTAGTGTGAGGAAGCCTCAGAACACCAAACTTGAAATTGTTATTGCCTTGCCAGGCAAATTGTCTAAACTGGATCATGAGATGGTGACCCTGATACCAAGTCAAGATCAGGGAAAAACCCAGGTACTGCCAAATGAATGTACAGAGATTTTTCCACCTAAAGAGCAGTCTAAGTATTGTGAAAACGGCTTTTCAAGTAAGGGATGGCTTGTTGAGAATTTGGGATAAGGATATCAGTAGGATTTGTCTACCCATATCCAGCTTTCAAAAAGATTACTGTTCCTGGAGTGCTTGAAACATGCCCTCCTTGTTTCAACATATGAATCTTCTTTCCTTGGAGAGGAGCCTGGGCTTCTTTCTCTGTGGGTGGGCTTTCCCCTCATCCAAGAATGGTTCCTTCTTTGGGACAGAGCCCACATGGGTGCCTCCAGCACCAGGCCATAGCCACCGTCAAAGATGTGCTAGGAGTGGGAGGGAAGAAGAGCTGGGCAACTTCTGAGGGATCTTGGTGTGTCTCTGCAGCCAAATCAACCAACATATCTCTCTCTCTCTCTCTCTCTCTCTCCCCTCCCCCCCCCTTTCTGCACAGATGGTGGCACAAGTTCCTTCTACCTCCAGGGTGGTGCAGCTGGGCAGCCCAACCTGCCTCGGCAACGTGGATTCTGCTTTCAGTGCCCCTTTCCTTGGCACCCCCACAAGCCCCAGCTGGCCCTGCCAGCCCCGCCCACCCCTTCCTCCAGCCTCGCTCCCCTAGCTACCCAGAGTGCAACTTCCCAGGCAAACTTTGGCCTTGGCAACCAGAGCCGGTCTTTGCCCCCACCCTCTCCCATCATCATCGTGCCCTACTACAGCCCGCCCCCTGGCCACAGCGTCACCAGTGATGCCTCCTCCTCCACCGTCACCTCTGCAGCTTCCAACAAGTCCTTCTATGCACTCAATGCCACTGATGACACCTCCTCCGCTGCTTCCTACCAGGCACCAGGCTACCGAAGCCTGCCCTTGCCCCCCGGCCCCGGCCCCTTCCACCAACCCAACTACAGCCTGCCCCTTGGTCACAAGATCCCTTATGGCCCCCTCCCATCTTCCCCCACTATCACCTCTGGTGCCTTCTATGACTCCATCCAGGGAGAGCCACTGAGTTTCGGTTCTGGCCAACAGGGCGTGCCTCCATCTCCCATCTTCTATGCGGTCAATGCCAATGACACCTCCTCCTTCCCCGCTGCTTCCTACCAGGCACCGGGCCACCAGAGCCTGCCCGTGCCCCTGCCCTCCACGCCCAGCCCCTTCCACCAGTCCAACTACAGCCTGCCCATCAGCCCCAAGCTTGGCTACGAGCCCCTCCCTTCCTCTCCTCCTCTCTACCAGTCCATCCAGGGCGAGCCACTGAGCATTGGTTCTGCCTACCAGAGCCAGCCCCCATCCCCCATCTACTATGCAGTCAATGTCACTGATGATGCTTCCTACCAGTCTGCTGGGCGCCGGGCGCCAGGCCACCAGAGCCTACCCCTGCCCCCTGCCCCCTTCCACCAGCCCAACTACAGTTTGCCCCTCAGCAACAGGACCATCTATGAACCGCTCCCCATCGCTCCCACCACTTCCTACCACTCTGGCCAGAGTTACTCACCTGGCTCTGCTGATGGCCAGCTCTGGTGGGATTCGTACGCACCACTCCATGATGAGTCAACTATGGGCAGCATCTTGTCCAGACGAGAACTCTTCACAAACTCCCAGCGAACCCCACTCAGTGCAGCAACCTTCTTTGACGAGAACATAGACGACTCTGCTTTCCATCGGCCTGTCAGGCCCAGGCCTCCCCCCCTCCAAATGCCCCCCCCAGGATTCTCCCCCCCCTATGAGTACCCACTTCCCATGATAAATCCTGATTTATCTCCCATACCTTACCCAGTGTTTAATGCTAGAAGGTTGGGTACCAACTTCTATTATCCCTCCCCTCGCCACATGCTAAAGTTCTACCCATACCTGTATGGGAAGCTGCATGAGATTCCGCCCTCAGACATGGACCAAAGCCAACCCCATGAAAGCCCACTCAGTGACGCCTACTTTGCCCAAACATAGACGAGACTGCTTTCCATCGGCCTGTCAGGCCCAGGCCTCCCCCCCTCCAAATGCCCCCCCAAGAAGTGTCCCCCCTCCGTGTGTACCCACCTCCCATGATAAATCCCGATGCATCTCCCATACCTTACCCAAACTTTAACGCTAGAATGGAGGGTACCAACTTCTATTATCCCTCCCCTTTCCGCATGCTAATGTTCTTCCCAGACCTGTATCGAAAGCTGTATGAGATTCCGGCCACAGACATGGACCAAAGCCAACTCCATGATGAGTCAACTACGGGCAGCAACGTGTCCAGACGAGAACTCTTCACAAACTCCCAGCAAAGCCCACTCAGTGAAGCCTACTTTGCCCCAAACATAGACGAGACTGCTTTCCATCGGCCTGTCAGGCCCAGGCCTCCCCCCCTCCAAATGCCCCCCCAAGAAGTGTCCCCCCTCCGTGTGTACCCACCTCCCATGGTAAATCCCGATGCATCTCCCATACCTTACCCAACCTTTAACGCTAGAATGGAGGGTACCAACTTCTATTATCCCTCCCCTCTCCGCATGCTAATGTTCTTCCCAGACCTGTATCGAAAGCTGTATGAGATTCCGGCCACAGACATGGACCAAAGCCAACTCACTGACCAGACCCAAAGCCATGAGTCACCTGTGGGCAACACCTCATTCAGACGACAACTCTTCACAAACTCCCCGCAAACCCCACTCGTTCCAGGAACCTTCTTTCACCAGTTCATAGACGACTCTGCTTTCCTTCGGCCTGGCATGACTCCCCCCCAACAAGTGTCCCCCCTCTTTGTGTACCAACCTGGCATGATAAATCCCGATGCATCTCCCTTGCCTTACCCACCCTTTGACCCTAGAAGCGAGGGTACCAACTTCTATTATCCCTCCCCTTTCCACATGCTAATGTTCTTCCCAGACCTGTATCGAAGGCTGTATGAGATTCCATCCCCAGACATGGACCAAAGCCAACTCTCTGACCAGAACCAAAGCCAAGCAGCCTCTTCTCAAAGCCCAGCAGTAGCACCTCAGGCCTTCAACCAGAGCCAGCCAATGGTCGTGAGGCCAAAGGAGCGCCGAGGCACCGACAGGCAAGCCACCTCCCTGAGCAGCACCAAGTCAAGCAGAGGTGGGTGAGTGTGTATATGTGTTTCTGTTGTGTAAGCAATGTGTGATGTTTCTGGGCCCTGACTGGGCATGGTGAGCTGATCTTCTCACAGATGGTCACTTTCCATTAATATAGCTCTACCACAGACAGACACTATCAAGCCCAAAGAGCTGAACAGTTA